TTTTGTAAAATACGAGGAGAACATATGTGTAAGCGCCAATCCATTATTATTGTTATTATTAAAATGATAAGTGATTAGTGAGGTATTTTGAAATGCACCAATTTTTTTTTTCTGGGTTAAATATGTGACCAATTGAAGTATCTAATGTCATTTGGATAATTTATGCCTACCAATTGTTATGGAAAAGGTAGACAAAGGCAAACCTCTGAGTGTATTTCTGCCCTGAAAAAGCTTCTCAAAGAATTCATTTCCCTTCAGTTTGGGTAACAATATGAAACAAGTGGAGAAGTTTTGCCAAAAACTCATCAAAATTGTAAGCGCCAAAATATTTTTATAATTATCAGATGTTATTATTCTTTATTGTTACTGAAAGTAGGGGAGTCTGTGTATGTTAAAAAATTGTTACTTGGAGGTTTTTGGGGTCGCTGATTACGAATATGATGATGAATTTTTTAAATTTCAAAATGGTTGGATCCGCAGATGAACTTTTGAAAATTCGTTCATTGTCTCTCCAAAATTGGTTCAGGTAAAACAAATTTGGTTGTATTCTTGAAAATTCGGTACTCTTAAGTGATGAGTGATGTGTTTGGAAATCCAATATGGCGGACCGAAATTTGAAACCATCGGCAAAGCTCATAATATCGAAAGATTGTGAAAAACTTGTACGGATTAGGATTAGCGCGTAAAAAAACTTATGCCGAATTTGCACTAGGAATTGAATGACAAAAAATGGATGCCATTTAAAAAAATGCCATGTAGAAATGAACTTAATGACTATTTTTTTAATGTAAAGACACGATTATTTTGTAATGCCCAATTTTGTCATTTTTGCCATTTAATGCCTAGTGGAAATTCGGCATTAGATTTTCGTTTCTACCGAAAAATGTTACCTTTTGATTCGTTTCTTAAAATGTCGTACCCCTGTAAGACAAAAAATGCACATTATCTACCTTTGAAGTTTTGTCAGGGGAGATGGTTGCCCTGAAAATCAGATGGTTGCTTAAAACGACAATATTATGAAATGAAAGAAGGCCCTTTTGAGAGATTTGATTTTAACGTCAATCACATTTTGCAACTTTTTTGGAAGTAGCGAAATCACCATAACTGACTTTTTAAAAATGTTTTCATTTTGGAAAATTGCATCGTTGCTATATTTTAATATATAAAGTTTTTGCGCTTTGAGGGAAACAGGAAAATTCGATGCTTTCCGGCTTGAAAATTGCACAGAGCGCAGCTTTTTCATTACGCGAAACAATCGGGTTTCTAGAATATGCATACGCACACCCACATACATACATACATACATACATATGTACATACTTATGTACGCAGTTCTTCCGGTCTCATCAGACAGCTCTTGATGTCACACACCGTTAATTACATTTATAAAAAGTCAGTTAACTGCCTGCTGTGTAGAGACAATCATACAGAGGTTATATACATACATACATACATACACGTTTCCATACTTTAATCAGCTTATTATTAATTCACTGCCGTAGCGCGTCTTCTTAAGTAAAATGTTAATCGAAATTCAATAAATACTCGCAAGTAATAACAAATGCGACAGTGCGCACAGTAAGCTAGCTGCCTACACATATACATATACATATATATGTAGCTAAGTATCTCGTCATTTGATCTTAGAGAGAACAACAATATTTAGCAAAAAAAAAAATATTGTAAAGCAAAAATGACAACACTCCAGACCAAATGGAATTGCTAGTAAAAACAGCAAAAGCGCCAGAACAAAATGTCTAATAAAAAATATTGTACAAATACACGATCAAACATATAAATTTTCATATGTATAGTACATATGTATGTATGTGTGTAGGGGTGCATTCAAAACCACCTGTAGCTACAAATGTATTCTGAATATTAGAACAATATTATATAGTATGTACATATTTTCATTTGATATGGGAAGATAACTAAAAGCCATTACGTATGGTTTTATTACCGCTTCACTAATAAACACATGCATGCATACATGCATACATACATATGTACATACATATGCATTTGAAGAGCTAAGATAATAAGCCTTTAAGGCTAAAAACACGCAATTTTTTCAGAAGAGAATTATTTTTCTAAGCCATGATACATGCACACATACATACAAACAAACAAAGCAAGAAACAAATGAAATTAAAAAAAAACAAAAATAATTCGTAAATTATTTTTGTATATCAAAAAATTTGCAACAAAATTGATTTGCTTGTTGCTCTTTGCACTGCAAGTCGCAAATTTTCTAAGCAAACACGCTATATAATTTATATTTTCACATGCTATATAATACATATTTTGTTTTTATATTTTTCACTAAAATGCACTTATTTTTTTCACAATTCAAAACTCTGAAATATTACCACTGTTTGTTGTAATTTAAATGCCAGCGTTCTCAAAAGTTTTTATTATATTTTAACCACCACCGTTTAATTATTTAATTTTTTTTACTTTTTCGCCGCCGGTTTTGCGCAAATCCGCTTCCGTAACAAACACTTTGAATTCCGTTGTTCAACTGTTCATCGCTTTAACTTTAAAGCCGTTCGCTACCAAAAATGCCCACTAAAATGATTCACTACTATTTTGCTTGTTCATATACGTGTGGCTGTGTGGCTGTGTGCCTGTGTGTGTGTTAATAAAAATTTTTGTTGCGTCCAAAGCATTCGTTTGTGTCTCGACTACAAACATGGTGGGCAAAGTAAAACATCCGGTGGTTTGTGCATTTGCTGTGATACGGAAACTGAGATGTATTTTTAGATCCGTTGAATCTTAACCCTGCAATAAATTTGTTATTTTGTTGTTGAATAATCAAGATAATCAATCGAGCTCTTAAAAAAATTATATGTTAAGACTAATATTCACTCGACCACATCCTAGTATTTCGACCGTTTTAACTGTATTAGCTTAAACAGATAAAATTAATTAAAAGGGCATTTGTCAATACCTATTGTCCCTTTTAATCAAAAAATTATATTTTTTTTTTCAATTCAACAGATTTTTCTCTTTCATTTGGTGTCCTTATTGTTATTCTACATTGGACTGATTTTTTTAGATAATGCTTGGAATTAATCATGTTTTTGAAACTAAAAAGTTCTTTTAAACCAAATCCTTAGGTCAGAGAGAAAAATTAAAAACGCAGTTTTACTATACTTGGTCCACAGTTTCGTGAGTATATTGATTGCTTGGTGTGTTTCGAATTTTTTTTGTTTGTTTTTGCGCATAGTGTTATTTGGTGCAGAAGGTGGTTTAAACTAAAAAAAAAAAAAAATACTGAGTACGCCCCTGGTCCCAGCTGACTTAATATTAGCACTGTCTCCCTAAATAAAGGCTCTAATTAAAACCCAACTACCATTCCACAGTGGTTCAAAACTGGAATTCACTGGAGCCTTAATTTGTCAACCAATTTCATTTCAAAATTTGAAATGTTATATTTAAAAAAATTTTCACCAAAAATATAAAATAAAATATAATTAACTTTTTTGGAAAAAATTTTGATATGCAATTTAATACATATAACATTAAATTTTAGTATAATTAATTGCAAGTTCCAAGGGGTTAAGAGGTCGCGTTGGTTTTTAATAATTTTAAATAAATAAATAAATAAAATAAATGGGAAATCAAAGCGTTTGTTATATAATTAAAATTCAACGCAAACTCTTAGCCACTTGCAACTTGCACTTTGTTATACTAAAATTTAATGATTTATAAAACTGCATACCCAAAATTTTTCTAAAAACCAAAAAAAAAATTTCATTTTGCTGAAAATTTATTTATAACATTTCCAATTTTTTTTATAATTTTTTTCGTTTTGGGAGAATCTTACAATTGTTTTCAACTAGTTTTTATTGTGTAACATTTTTTAACTGAAACTGGAGAAACGGGTTTCTTCAAAATTGCTACTTTATCTGCAGCTTGCACTAAAAAATTTAATATAACCAAATAAAAATTTAAAAATCAGGCTCAGCTAGGCTTTTGCAAATTTGATTAGCTTTCATTCAAAAAAATATATATATATACCTCCCTTGTATGACAACATCAAGCCGCTGAAGATCGACCCTGAATTGACAAGGTTAGTAGGCACGCTAAACTATTTTAATGATGATAATTATTTTCATTTAAGTTCATGTTTGTAATATCTAATATATACTGGACTTCAAAACAATACCACTGATAGAGGTATGTACGTTTTTTTTTTCCAATTAACTTTTAATTGCAATAAAATTTTCAAAGTCCAACCTATTCAACTTAATTGATAGCAAAACTAAAAAGTTAAAAAATTGCGCACGATATTATATCTCTGCTACACTTCTTCTATACATATACATACATATATATATTTAGCTATTAATTACGCTTGCCGACACCTACTTTTGGAATATGATAACCTTTTGAAGCCACACACCTGCTGATAAAACCGAGGTGATAATTTAACAAACTATTAAATATTGTAAAATGACTGACACCAGTGTCTGTAAAAAAGGACTATCTTACTAGATTCTAAAGGGAGAATCACAAAACTCTGTAAGCGCATGCAAACCTGGTTTAGCAACGAGCTATTCTATGCTATCTATGTAACGGTAATCTAAAAGTCGTTTGCGTGTTGGCAATTTAGTAGCAAAATGGTATACTATCGACACGATCGATCAGTTGGAATGTCATGCTGTTCATATTTATATATTTATTCCGCTTTTAATAGTTCAATGTGTAATATTTAAATTTCCATATTTAATAACTACTGAAAAATTTTACGAAAAGTAAAAAAAAAAAAAAACAAAGTTTCAAAAGTGCGCTTAATGAGTACGCCAACGTTTCCCATTCATATCAGCATGCGCAATTGACCCGAACGATCAGCGATTGCAATACTTAAAAGTGTCGTATAATTTCAAAATAATTACTAGTGATTTGTTGCAGAGTAAAAGCTATTCAAAAATCTACACTTCTGCCACAGCGTATAAATATTGCTGCACGGTTGACGAATTTAATTCTCTACTGCATTCTGCATTAAATATTGACCGGAAAGTGGAAAATTGTAGCTACTACTATTAATATGGCTGTCGCAAAGTGTCCTCTATTCCTGACAATCCTAGCCGTTGCTATTGAAATTTCATTGGCTTGCGTAAGTGCAATATTTAACCTTTAAAACATCATCTGATTCATTTCGAAACATTTCAATAGAATGGCTACAAGGCGCGTATGATAAAAGCGGAAAATTGCGCTGGAGCGGATGCGATCATTACGCTAGATGACGATTTTTCAGTCAAACTCAATAAGAAATGCGAAATTGTGCCTTCAGGTTGCGTCATGAATAAGGCCTTCAATACCGCCGTGTCGCAGTTTAAATTGCAAAAGGATGGCATTGTGCTGAAAGAGGGAAAATTCGACTTGTGTGCTGCCGCCGAACATGTGCCGAACGAAGCAAAGGATATGCTGAAGCTCTTCGGCGCCCCAGCTAGTTGCCCAGTGCCAGAGGTAAGCGCTTAGACAAGTTTATACTTATCNCAGTAAATCCCGATCAACGCTGCCGTCTGTTCAAAGCTTTAAGATAAAGAATGTACTGTAAAATATTGCATGCCATAATATTCTCATTTCGCTAGGAGAAAATCTGCGCAAACGATCATCGTGTTGACTTGTCGAAATACAAGGCCATGTTGGGTATGGCCAAGGGCAACATAATTATGGATTCGGAGATAACTCATGATACAGTAGGTTTTTGATTTTGTATTTTATTTTATTTCTTTTTGCCACGTTTGTAGCAATATTCTCTCTTATTTAAAGGGTAAATCTTGTTTCCACATTGAGATGGAGATT